GCACATACCCACCGGTAACGACTCCCTGCCAACACCAGGGCAGGGAGGACGATGGCCAGAGCACCGCGGTGCTTCCACCACCAGCCCCAGCGCAAGCACTGACCCCCCGCCCACCCCGCCCCGAGGGACAACTGCAGGGTGCCCTGGCGCACGCAGGGCGGGAAGGCAGCAGCTACGTGACCCCATAGTACAAGTGAACGGCGAGGCCGATGCACGAGACGGCAACGAAGAAGAGGAGGGTGAGCTGCAGATTGAAGAGGGCGACGGACAGGAGGGCGTTGACCAGGATGGAGCAGGAGATCACGAAGAGCCGGGTGATGTTGCTGCTGTGCTTCATGACCACGGACATGATCAAGCCGTTCAAGGCCTGGCTGACCACAATGACCAGCACCCAGGAGGAGAAGCCGTCCAAGAATCCGCCCTCTGCGCTGCTCCAGAAGTAGCCCATCAGGTTGAGCAGGACCCCAAAGAAGTAGAGGAAGAGGTTCTGCAGGCTGAGAGGCAGCGGCTGCGTTTTCAGGATGGCTTCCGTGTAGACAGCAGACAAACCCGAGATCAGGCAGTACACAGAGATCAGCAGCAAGCCCACCAGCGTGACGTGCAGCTGCATCTTGGAGGGGCTGCCGGGGTCCTGCAGGCCGCCGCAGCTGTAGCTCACCCCAGCGGCCACCAGCAGGAGAAGAGCCAGCCACCTGCGCACGCCGAGTCTCTGGCGCAGGAAGAGGCTGTAGAGGAGCGCAGTGCTGACGATCTTCAAGTTACTCAGGACCTGGTAGGTGCTGGGATCCATGAAGAGCTGCATGTGAACCACCAGGTTGTTGTTGGCAGCATAGAGCAGGGCAGAGAGGGCGAAGGGGGCAACGTGGCGCCACGACACCGCGACTCCCAGCAGCTCCCGGTCCCAGGTGAGCAGGAACACGAAGGATAACAGCAGCTTTGTCAGCTCGACAAGAACCACGACGGACGCGGAGCTGAAGGGGATCATCCCGTCCACCTTGCACTGGGTCAGGAGGGGAGCATGAGAGCCGTATATGGCTACAGACAAAACCAGCATCAGTCCCCACAGCCCTCTCCGGAGCATCCAGTTTGCAGAACCAGCAGCATTGCTAAACTTCACCATTTTCAGGTGGTAGACAGCAAGTGCAAGCTGCTGCCAGTGCACAGAGGCCAGACTCGCACCCTAGAACATTCAAGAAGAGACCAAATACCATGAATTTAATGAGCCTGACTAAAACAGGATGTTTCCTGTTACATTTGTGAGGCAGTAGAAGAGAATGGTTTTGTCTTTTGTTAGGAAGAGACCTACAAGCCTCCCCAGGAAGCCACACAAAGCAGGTTCCTAGGGCAAAGCGTGCGCTCAGCAGCGGGGCGTACAGGTGGCGAGCGTGACGACACGCCACGGGCAGCCTTTCAGTCCGCAGGGCCACGGGGAGAGAGGCGAGGGGAAAAGGCGGCTGGCAAACCGTCGGCTACCGGTGCTTCCAACCTCCTGTGGGTTAGTGGAGTGATCGCTGCTGCCATGATGCTCTAACAAATACGCCATAACCAGACCCACTGACGGCTCCCAACGGTGCGGTGTAAAGCCCTTTTCCGGTGGAAAGCGACAGTAAATGTGACGCGCCTCCGAAAGCCCTAGGAGTCTTCCGCACCCGCTAACCAAGGAGCACCGTTCCTACAGGCACTGCTGCCGCAGGGCTCCTCGCTAGTCCCGACCTTTCTTCAGCGAACTGAAATAGTCCCGGACCGTCTTTTCAACATCAGGGACGGCGTAGTTCTGAGCGGCGTAGATCCCTGTGCAGGTCCCAGCCACGAATCCCAGGACGGCGGAGAAGCGAAGTTTGGCTACCAGGTAGCCCGCCAGGAAGCCTTTGAGAAAGGGCGAGGCCAGCAGAGAGCCATCCTGCGGAGAAGAGCGCAGCGTGAGGCCAGTCCCGCACATGGGAGGCGGAGCAGGGGCGCGCCCGAGGGCTTTTATTCCATTTTTGAACACCGAGCCCCCTCACGGCGGGTTGGGGGGCCCGCCC